ATATATATATATACATAAAAATAAATATAATCTCAGGGTTTCAATCACTAAATTGGCTAAGTTGGGGCTGAACTCAAAACTTGTGATTGTCCTACCTCACCTTCCTGAAGAACTGGGATTAAAGGCGTGAACCACTAGGCCTGGCTTCACTATACTTTTACAAGACATTATGACCCCATATGTAGTAATATTCCAGTCAGGAAAATAAATACACAGCTGTGTCGCTTCAAAGATGTTATTTACTCTCCATTTCCTCTCCAGCAAACAGGTAATACACCAGCAATTCTTATAGGATTTTTATTATGGTAAATTAGATTATCTGTGTAATGTGCTTAGCAAATCACATAGCACCTAGTGAGAAAACCCAACAAGCATTCACTGGTAAACTGAGAAAGGTAAGATGACAAAAATTTACCTTGATCATTTATCAGAAGACCTTGATTTAAGAAGAAGAAACTACCAATTTAATTAATTGTCAAATTTTCTAAAAGATATTTGGCATCATCAGAGAAGAAAGCCCTTTCTGAAGACAGGGAAAAAAGCCATAGTATATTATGCAATAAAGTTTTGAATTTGACAGCTTTTTCTTCTACAATATAGAAATAAAATCACATGTCAGTTCAGACAGGAGCTGGAATAACTGACTGGTAAGTTATTATTCTTCCATGCTTGTTACTTCCAAAATGTGTTTGTGAACTTCTTTCAAGGCTTAAATGAAGAGTAAATCCAAAGAAAAATAAAATGCTTCAAATAAATTTGTTCTAAATTTATTCATCTGCTTTTAAAGATTCCTATTATTAAATGCAGATATTTCTCTTTCTTTTGCCCCTCTATTTTTTGGGGCATACAGATTTTTTTAGCATCTGTCATAAGTAAATACGGGCTGAGAAAATATATTACATTTCAAAACTGTTGATTGCACCTAATTATGCATGTAAATTGCTACTTCAAGCATGTAGACAGCTTGCAACATTTTGAAAATTTTGCCCTACTAGTCATCTGAGGTATTTGCATTACTATTTTGCAGTTGCCTTAAATGACTGTTCATCTCCCATTAACCTTCCATTAATGATGGGTCTATGAATAAGTTTGACCTTTTACTGTCTCTCAGATGCCTCAAATTTAGTAAATCAGCACTTTTAACAAAGTTGCCCTTCCCATTTATACCAGATCACTTGATTTTTGGAGTCACTGAGATGAATTTACAGGGTCCTAGGAATCTAGTCTATCTAATCCCTTGTCACTCAAAATATGATCCAGAAACTCAAAACATGTAAATATCTAGCAATTGACTCAAACTGCAATTCTAATCCCCACCATAGGCCCACTGAACCAAAACCTGCATTTAACAAGATCTCCAAATGATTCCTACTACATTCAAGTTTTGTTTCCCTGTTACAATTTTTAGCCTATTACCATAAAATACTACTGAGAAAAACTTACTAGGAAAACACTATTTGATATCTTTTCTTTCCTCCAGGCATTATTTTGAGAATAATGCCCTACCCACTTTTCTGGCCTCTATCTTATTGATATATAATGAAAACTTTTACAATTAAGAGTGTGTTTATGATATATATGGCTCATAATAACAAGTGTACATTTTTCTAAAATTAAAATACATTAACCTAAAAAGTACTTTACATAATCATGTAAATATGTGAAAAATGTGGTTATTGTTGACCTCAAGACCTGAAAATCTACAATTGCTTTCTGCCAGCATTTTCAGTGTCTTTGGTTGCAGTGCAAGCAGAAACTAACAGTCTAAGTCTGTGCAGTGATAAACTAATAAAGCTTCAATACTTTTAAGAAATTTGAACTCAATTATGTGCCCTAATACTTTTAGGAAATATCAGAAATCATTACTAGAATTTCTTTGAAATGCATGCATAAATAAATCAATAAATTACTTTTTGAAAAGCTAACTTTAATATACATGAAGTCATCTGGAGAATGTTGTTAAATGCAGATCATGACTCAGCAGGTCTGGGGTTGAGCTCGAGAAGCTACATTTCTGAC